TATAAGTTTGGCGAATAAATTTTCTCTTTTAGAAGATATTTTAATAATATAATATTCTTATAGATGACAAATGTCATTATGATTCACACACTGGTTATAAGTATTTGATAATAACATAATTTTTAAATTGTACTCACTTTGCTACACTTCTCTGGGTTTTATAGTAGTGGTGACAAAGAATCACATTTTGGAAAGCCACGTGGATAATTTTACATAATCAAGGATTATGTGAGTGGCCACACTACATTCCACGTCACCAAGAGCTTTCCAGGCTCAAAGGGTACAGTTCTCTTCTTTCCTACCTTGTGTTTATTCAATTTTCCTTCCTTTTTTCTTCTATTTATTAATTGGTCCTCTTATTCAACAAGCATGTGTCAAGAACCTAATATGAAACAGGCACTGGGGAACTAGAAAATGACTTTTCCTCCTTGAAAATGGAACAAGAGGATTCAGTTAGACAATGCCATATATTCCCTTACAAGAGACATACTTCATCCAAGAAGAAGCACACAGACTGAAAAATGAAAGAACAAGGAATACTGCTCCATGGAACTGGAGCCCCATGCAGGAAGTAGTAGCTATGTATTTTAAGTCACAGCAAACTTTAAGCCAAAATTATCAGAAGAGTCATAGTGGACTACAATGCACTAGGAGAAGGCAAAATTCAACATGTAGAGATAAAAACTACATGTATCAACAGTTGACACCCCATTTCCTAAATAAAACCTACAGAACATAAGAGGACAGGTACCAATACAACAATAGGAATCAAAAGGAGGAAAACCAACAAATAAATATTAAACCACACCACTGAAGAAATAGACTTAACATATAACTACAGAGTGTTCATCCAGAAACAGAATACACATTATTCTCCGAAGCAGATATGTTTTTCTCCAAAATTGGTCATAACTTAGGCCATAAAGCATACTTACATAAATACAATAAAATTAATAATCTCTTGCATACTATTAGACCACAGTGTAATGCAGCTATAAATCAACAGCAAAAGAACGCCCAGAAGCTACAGAAAATGTGATGATTAAATAATATATTATTGAAAAATTAGTGGATCACAGAAAGAATCAGGAAAGCAATTACAAAGTTCCTAGAATAAAAAAACAATGGAAGCACAACATACCAAAATCTGTGGGACACAGAAAGTAGTTCTAAAAAGGAAGTTTATACCTGTAAAACTATACACTAAAAGAATAGAACGATCTAAAATAACCTTATGATGTATTTAAATTTCCTAAATAAGCCCAAACAGTCTAAATCTAGAACTAGCAGTAAGATAGAAATTACAAAGATCAAAGCAGAAATTAATAAAATTCATGAAAAATACAAAGATCATTGAATCAATAATTAGTTCTTGGAGAGCATAACTACTGACAAACATTTAGCCAAATTTAACCAAAAGGGAGAAGATCTCATATGAATGCAAGCAGAACTAGAAAATGTGAAATTATAACAGATTTCACTGATGTCTAGAGGCAAACCAAGAAGAAATGCAGAAATTCCTAGACACGCATGAACAACCCAAATTAAACAAAGAAAATGTGAAAACTCTGAAGAAACTAACAATAGGCAATAACAAGAAATAATAATAACCCCATCAACTAAGAAAACTCAAGAACTGGATGGATTTACTGTATAATTCTACCAGAATTGCAAGTAATACCTAGCACCAATTCTCAAACTAGTCCATGAAATTGAGAGGGAAGGAGCACTGCTCATCTCAATCATGGAAGCAAATATTTCCCTGATACTAAAACTGAAAAAAGGATTTTTAAAAACAACAAGAAAATTACAGGCCAATATCCTTAATGAGCATATTTGTGAAGACCCTCAACAAGATACTGAAAAACAGAATGCAACAAATTCTGCATCATGACCAAGATGGCAAAATCCCAAGGATACAAATATAGCTCAACATCCACTCATGATCAAAACCTTGAAGAAAATAGGTACAGTAGGACCATATATCATCCTGTTAAGTCATTTATGAGAAACCCACTGCCATTTCTTCTAAAATCAGAAACAAAGGTGTCCACTTTTATCACCTTGTTCAATACAGTATTAAAAGCTTCAGCCAGAGCAGTCAAGAGAAAAAAAAAAGAGAGAGAGAGATACAAACAGCAAAGGTAGATGCCAAACTATCTTTATTCATAGATATGATCCTTTTCATGGAAGAGCTAAAAATACTCCACCAGAAAGAAGATTCTTAGAACTAAGAAACAAATTTAGCAAAGTAACAGGATAAAAAACTACTACAGAAAAATTAATAGCATTCTTACACATCCAGAATGAACTCACCAAGAAAGTGATGGAAAACAAACCTGTTTATGGTTGCATCAAAAATGCCTAGGAATTAATCTTACAAAGGAAATTAAAAAAAAAAACTTTACAAGATAAAGTATTTACTCTGACAAAGGAGATCAAACAGGACATCTGTAAATGGAAGTATATCTCCTGTTCCTGGATAGGTAGAACCAATATTGTTAAAATGGTCATAATACCAAAAGTAATAAATAGATTTAATGCAATTCCAATAAAAATGCTGGCAGCATTTTTCACCAAACTGGAAAAAAAAAATCCCAAAATTTAGACATGAGCAAAGGCACAAAAGAGTCAAAATGAACCTGACCAAGTACAAAGTAGGAGGAATCACAATCCCAGATTTAAATATATATATTACAAAGCTCCAGTGACAAAAGCAGTATGACACTGGTACAAAAAGAGACATTTTGGTCCATGAAACAGAACTGAAGATGCAGAAACAACCCCAGGCACATTCGATTTTCTAATCTTTGAAAAACAGGCCAAAAGCATGCTCTGCAGAAAATACAGCCTCTCGAACAAATGATATTAGGAAAACTGGTTATACACATGCAGAAGAATGAATCTAGATGCATATCTCACATATTCTACAATAACATCAAAGTCAATCAAAAGAGAAATATAAAAAGAAAAATACTTTATCTTCTGGAAAATAAATTAAGTGAAACTCTTGAAGATATAGGCATAAGTGAGGACTTTCTGAATAGAACACAAGTTGAACTAGAAACACCACTATCTCTTCTGCAAAGGAAGAGAAACAATCAACAGAGTTAGACAACCTAAAGAAAGACAACCGTGCAAAATAAAGACCCAATAAAAATAGGCAATTACTCTGAATAAATATTTCTCAGAAGAAATACAATTTTTCACCATATTTGCCACTGGAGAAATGCAAGTCAGAACAACACAGTGATTCCATCTTACTCTAGAATGAATGTCTTCTGCAAAGGAAGAGAAACAATCAACAGAGTTAGACAACCTAAAGAAAGACAACCGTGCAAAATAAAGACCCAATAAAAATAGGCAATTACTCTGAATAAATATTTCTCAGAAGAAATACAATTTTTCACCATATTTGCCACTGGAGAAATGCAAGTCAGAACAACACAGTGATTCCATCTTACTCTAGAATGAATGGCTTTCACCAAGAACTCAAAGAACAACAAAGGCTGGTGAGGGTGTGAGGGAAAGGGACCCTTTTACATTGTTGGTATTGTTGGTTGAATGTAAATTTTACAACCACTATGGAAACCTGCATGGAGTTTGTTCATAAAAACTAAAAATGGAAATTCCATTCAACCCAGATGTGCCTTTTCCAGGTACCACCCCAAAAGAGCTCAAGACATCATAGTACAGTGATGCATCCATACCCATGTTAATGGCAGCACAACTCACAACGGCTAGACAATGGAGGAGGCCTCTATACCCATTAACAGATGGATGAACTGAAACATGTAGTATAAATACACAATGGGGTTACTCCACCACACAAAAAAGATAAATGTGACTTATTTGTTTGAACATAGTTGCAATTTGAGACTATAATGCTAAGGGAAGTAAATCAGACACAACAAGATTAAATATTGCATGATATCTCATATGCAAATTTCAAAGCATAAATAATTAAAAGTGCCAAATACAAGGTAAAGATCTATGATATGAAAAAGAAAGTGATATTTTGTAGAAAAGGAAAGGGGAACTAGAGATAGAGAGACAGGAAGGGGGAAAGGGGAGGAAAAATGGATTAAAATGTGTACCAAGAATCCACAATTCACTATGCATCACAAACATATACATTAAGAAAAAGAAAAATGTGAAAATTTTAACATATGTGACTTTAAAATATCTAGTGTCTATCATGGTCAATAAATTCTTATGAATTAATAGAAACACAAAAAAGTCACTCAATATATGGGTTTTATTGTGTGTAAAAAGAAATCTAAATGACTCTCAAAGCCATTAATGTTTTCCAGTCCAACTAATAACTACAGGATGACAATAATAAGATACAACTAAAGTTTTCATTAGAAAAAGTGACAAAAGGTCTTAATTCTAGGTAAGAATGCAAATTAACAAAGAACTGTGTACTGTTTCCTTTTAGGTATTTTATTATTTCCTTTATTACAATGAACGAGATATGGTAGAAGACAACTTCGTCCTCAGGACAGATCAAGTACATGGAAAGTCAGAACAGTTCCAAGTATGAGAAGGACTTGACACACTGGAGCTGATTTTGCAAATGGAGGAGCCATCCACCCAACCAGGGAGTGCAGGCCAGAGAGCTCACACTGACAGCCATCAGGGAAACAAGATCCTCAGTTATAAAACCACAAGAATTGAATCTTATCAAAACTGAAAGAGCTTGGAAGCAAATTCATTCCAGAATCCCCAGAAAGAAACACAGGGTTTTTGGCAACATGGTTTTATTCTGCTAGACCTGGAATTGAGGAACCAGTTAAATTATGCACTGTGCAGACTTTGACAGAGAAACATTTAAAGGGGAAATGAGTATTATGTTAAGCGGCTAATTTTGTACAATTTGTTATGCAGCCATTTAAAATTAATAGAGGCAGAAAATTGAATTACCAAAAAAGAAAATTTACTATTCATAGTTCACAACTAAAATCACTACTTTTTATTTTTAAATATGAAAAACTCACTGCTCTTGATAAAGTAGATACTTCATCTGTTGTGGATTTTGTTTCCCTCAGTGCTACCATCACTGCCTCTTCATTTTCCTCAATATTCACTTTAACATCTTCTATTTTTGAACAGTAGTGAGTATGTAGATTGTTTAGTTTATCTACTTCTCTCCTAGGAGAAAAACAGGCTCAATTTCATCCATATTGAAAAACAATCGTACTGTATGTTTAAACTGGCTTCTGACAATTGTTTCACTCCATAGCAATTTCCAGTTCATAAAAAGTAGCACTTAGATATTAGTAGTGAGAAGAAAATAACAGTAGTATTTTGTTTCCAATGGAAAGGAATTAAGAAAAAAGTTTATAAATTGTTTTAAACAAGCAACTTTATGACTTGATTTTCAGGATGAAACCTATGAAACTTTGATTCAAAAGGCAAGTAACAGGGCTTGGGATGTAGCTCAATGGTTCCACTGCCTGTCTTGCAAGCACAAGGTCCTGAGTCCAATCCCTGGTACCCCCCAAAAAAAATCTTTAAAAAAGGAGAGTAACACAGTAACAGAAAGGTGTGGGTGGAGAAAAGAGGGAAAAGTGAAAATATCAAGCAGTTAGTCTATCTGTTACTGTACACTAGGCAAGTTCAGATTAGGATAATAAGCGGTGAGTTAAAGAAAATGATTAATTGCATTGGAATTCTGTTTATCTGTAAGACCTTCACAAAGACCAATACTAATCTGTGAAGCACATAATTATCTGATTTCATAAGTAGAAAGCACATCCCAAATGAAAAGATTTCTTAGAAAATACACCAATTTAGACAAAATATCCAAGTGAAAAGATGATAAAAATGACCATTTCATAGATTTCACCCAGTAAAACTTTTTTCAGATACTATAAACAATATAACAGACTAAGAGATTTGCTTGAAACTCATGTATGAAAAACCACATGTCTTATGTAATAAAATCTTACTAATCAATATTGTTAGAAAATTATCAGAGATTCAGGAAAGCCACTAGGACATCAGATCTGCCTCCAACCTGCCTGGGCCGTCCTTGGGTCTGGGTAGTCACACCCTCCCTTGTGGGCACCATTGTTACTCCAACACCAGGAAGGCGAGATTCGGGAAAGCCACTCAGACATCAGATCTCCCTTCACCTGGCCTGGGCCCACTCCGTGGTCCGGGTAGCAGAGCCCTCCCTTGTGGGCACCACCATTGCTACTCCAGAACCAGGAGGGTAGCCCAGTGGGCGTGGCTCAGCACCCTTCCACCAGACCTCCTGATTGTTCCAGTCCTTGGACTCACTGCACAGAGGCATAGCTGGTTATAAAGGTTAATGTTCTGAGCTCCCAAATTTGAACATTTGAAAGAAAGGGCAGGGGAATCCTGTAGTAGAACTGTCTGGAATTCAACCCTGCAGGAGGTTGGGGAGCTCAATTTGAGCCTTGCAGCCTGAGGTCAGTCTGCATCATAGGGTTCTGCCATCGGCTAGCTGAGATAGGGGGATTTGGATCTGCACATGGCTGCACACCATGTGTATTATGACAGCAGAGATATAGTCTGAAAGAGGCCCTTCAGTCATATTTTTTTGTCCTTTTCTTTCTTTTCCTCATTCCACTCTGTAAATTCTTTGGACTGTTCTCTTTCAACAACTCGGGCTCTTGCTCCACCATATTGTCCCTCATTTCCCTTTCTGTTCCTGCTCCTGCCCTGACTCAGATTTCTTTTATCATTTTTTTCTTTATTCTTAATTTTCTTTTTTTCTATCATTGTGCCTCACTCAAGGGTCAGTAGTTTCAAGGGAAAGTGGGCCCCTATTGCTGTTAGGGGGATATATTCTTGTCTTTATACTTGCTCTCTGTCTATCCCTTTTGAGTTTGACAGTATCCTAAAGATTGTGTGGTCATTCTGTGTTCTCTGGTTTCACTAGAAACCTTCTCCAGTTCTTTTACTTATTTACTTTTCTCGTCCTACCACTATCTAGGCCCCCATCCTAAATGGTAAATATGCTATGTTGAGAAGTTCACTGCAAACATGTTTTGGGCTACTTCTTGATTTAATTTAATTCACATGGTTGAAAGGTGCTAGATTAATGACTACCACAAGTGGTCAATTCGCAAGTAGTGATTGGTCCTAGTGTGTTGCTGATTGTATTGATTGGGATAAAGGATAGGGATTGATTTGACAAGTTGTTTTCTCTGATATTATGAAAATGACAATGCCTATGACTCATTAGAGAATCAAAAGCTAAAATTCAGTGATATCAGGAAGATTTAATAACCCAGAGATTGAATCAAGGACATCCCAATAGCAAAAATAAAGATGAGAAAACACTTAATCAAGACACAAAGACAGACTTCCAGTTCACCAATGGCAAGCAGTAGGGCAGAAGAGGATGAAAAGGCCAATAGTGAACCACCAGGACACCCTGAACTCAAAGCACAGGAACAAAACAGATCAATCAGACTCTAGAAAAATTGAAATTAGAAATAATTTCCCATATAACCATAGAGATGGTGACAAAATGAAAGTCATGATTTGAGACTCTAGAAAAGAAACTGAGAAAAAAAATAGATAAGCTCAGGACCATGTTAGATGCCATGAAGGCCCAGCATAAGAAAGAAATGCAAGCAATGAATGCCCAACATAGGAAAGAAATGGAATGCATTAAATAGATTCAAACAGATATCCAAGAGATTAAAAGCTCTATTGAAAGTGTATGCAACCAAATAAAAGAATGTGAAGATAGAATCTCAGATATAGAAAGTAGGATTGCAGACAGTGACCCTGAAAAGAGAGGTCTCTTAAGAACAGTAAGGGATCATGAGAAATCGATCCAACAATTACTAGATGATTCAAAGAAGAATAACATAAGACTGATAGGAATCCGTGAAGTAGCAGGAGAAAATGCAAATGACTTAAAAAAGCTTTACACAGAATTAATGACAGAAAACTTCCCAAACAGAGGGGAAGAATTTAACATACAGATAAGTGAGGCATATAGGACTCTAACTAGCCATGACCAAAAAAAATTTATACCTAGACATATAATAATCAAGATCCCAGAAATCCAACAGAAGAACACAATACTACAAGTAGTAAGAGAAAAGAAACAAATCACATGCGAAGGAAAGCCCATCAGAATCACAGCAGACTTTTCAACACAAACACTCGGTCAAGTAGAGCCTGGAGTGAGGTATTTCAAGTCCTAGAAGAAAACAAACTCCAACATAGACTGATGTATCCTACAAAACTCTCTTTCAAAATGGATGGGGAAATAAGATACATCCATGACAAAAGAACACCTCAGAAGCTTCATGAACACCAAACCAGCAGTACAAGGAATTCTAAACAATATCCTAGAAAAAGACAATGAAGATCACAACACCATGAGGCTCAGCAGAGCAAATCAAATAGTCAAGGCAAGAAACTAAAAGGAGAGGGCAAAAAATTAAAAAGAGTCAACAAAAGGACAATAATATGACAATAAGAAGTCTGTACATAACAGTTACCATCAACGTCAATGACCTCAATTCACCAATCAAGAGAAACAGATGGGCAGAATGGATTAAGAAGCAAAATCCAACAATATGTTGTAAATAAGAAACACACCTGGTGCAGAAAGAACCCCGTAAACTGAAAGTGAAAGGGTGGAAACAATTCTCACATGACAGCAGCCCAGAAAAAAGCAGGGGTAGCTATCTTATTCACAGACAAAGTAAATTTCAAACCAAAACT